GTGAGGTGATCGCTGCGACGGGCATAGCGGGCGAGGAGAGTAGTTTCCCAGATACTTAGGTTACCGTCCGTGGGTCATCAAAAACAAGAGATAACATATCAAGGCACTTAAGTTAACAGACATTGAATTGCATAATTATTTAGTGAGGATCATAGAAGAGCAGAAGATAACCGTAAACAACAACATCAATTCTACTTCTTACTCTGAGTCTACTCTTTTGCTGCTTCCCCTTCCTCTCCTCCTCCCTACTGCTGTTCCGTGGGCGTAAGGAATACCGGTATGGGGGAGAGCGTGGGGGGTTCCATGTCCCCGGCCCCCGGCAGTCCAGCAAGAAAATATCCAATAATAGAAAATTGAGGGGAAACATTTTAGAGGGGGGGGGGGGAGGTATGCGAGTCGGACCTGGATACATAGAAATGAAACCAGTTGCCACCCACCCGCCAGGGGAGGTATATATGCCTAACCCTGTGGGCTCCTGGTGGTAGGAAGCAAAGGTATGGACTATCGAGGGAGTATATGTAGGGTGGTCACACTCCCAATCCACCTATAGAGTCCTCAGCAGTGTCCATCACTGGGGGGAGGGACCAATCTGCTGGTGCCCTGGATGTGCAGGATGATGTGGGTGTCTGATCCCTGTGAGGCAGGGGGGGGGAGAGCCACAGTAATCCCCTTACCTCGGGGTTCAGTCGGAGGAGTCTGGCCTGCATTCGGGTCCCGATTCCCTGCCATCGCGGTATCGATGACGTCACCGCGGCCCGGGGATTGCGGCCGGGTCTGTTCCTCAGCTATCTCCGGCCCTTCTACCACCTCGGGAGAGGTGTCTGGCGGCGATTCGGGTCCGATGCCCTGTGACCTAGTCTCCCGGTGAGTCGGGCGGTTCTCGGTTCTGAAAGGGGAGATAGATGCCGCGTCGTCAGAGGGGGTCAGGCCGTAATTTAGGCCGGGTGGTGTGGAGGATTCGTCAGCGGTTGTAGGCCTCGGCCGCACGCGGGGTGGGCGCTCTTCAGGGAGATGGGTGGGGGTTACAAATAACCTCTTGAAGGCGTCACTATTGTTCAATGGCACTCGGTTGTCTGATGGTTGCAAAAATGGCACTCGGTGTGTAAAAGGTTGCTGACCCCTGATTTAGACAGACCACATTGCCTGTACTGATGGATATCTTTACATGAATGTAACCACAGCTTACCACTAAGTTGCACAATCTTGCTACAATTTTGTGAACGGTTTCAATTTACGCTGACCACAGACATCAAAGACTGGTCAGATGTGCAAACACAATCCAGCCATTACACATTATTGCAAGGCTTGGCTTCATCCCTAAACAAGAATGCTTAGGTCACACAACTATTTCTGTTTAGGTAAAAGAAGGAGGAAGGAGTACACAGGCAGGAGTCGGCTCACCATGGGGAAAATAAATGTTGTACAAGCTGTTCTTACCAAGAAAGTCATTGTGCACCCTTACACTAGTAATGAGATTATTCACAAACACATTAT